CTCTAGGTGTCTGTAGCTAGCCCAGAAGGTGCCCGTTGACCCTGAGGCTTCAGACTAACACCGATAACTATGTCTCTTAATGAGAAATCTCTGCAAGTTGGAAAATTCCACTCTTCCAGATGGTGAGAGTTACTCGTCTTTGGTTTGCTTTGATTCCCTGGTGGAAGCAATTGTTTATTTTAGTGGCTGATTTTCCCCTTGCTATGTGGAGTTAAACTGTTTTCTCCTGTGCTTTCCAGAACACCAAGGGGGGTCGGCTGCTGAGGAAGTCACTCAAGTATTCAGGGTTTGTCATGTCCAAATGTTTCTCTTGTGCAATCCAAATGAAAAAGGATGCCAGAATCAGGGCAGCCGCAAGCAGCAAAGAGCAAACTACGGGCCTTAGCCTCTTACAGCTTCAAAGCCCCTTTCATATTTGCTTTGCAGAATCCCTACAAAGGCTCAAGGACAGGAAAATCAGAGGCAAATTTTGTATGGCAACCTGTGTGATAGCACGTGCTATACCAGGGACCAGATTTTGCAGCACTTTCTCAATTTCCACTCAGATTGCACCCAGGCAAACTCCTGTTCATTGCAGTGTGAGTTCACCTGCATCATGAAGAGAGTAAAAATGCAGCACTGGCTTCAGAATTTGGCTTGTAAAGGAAAGAGACCCTTTTCCCCATTCAGAGCTCAGCTGCCGTAGTATGGATTCATGCCAAAACCACTGAAGGCAGTTGAGTTGCTCTGGATTGGTTTCACTGACGTGTGTGGTCCCTCGGTTATTTATGTTGTCTGTAGACCACCATGCAACCCTGCACTGTATAAGCAGTAAGTATTAACCCAGGCAAAGAGAGGTGAAGTGCAGGGACTAGCACAGCGGGCTGAGAGTCCAGACTCTGAGGATATTATTCTGACTCTCATCACAAGCCAGTTAGGGGAAGATTTGTGGCTGGCATTTGCATTGCTAAACAGTGGTTGGAAACACACAGGTAGCTCCCCTGCAGCACAAAGCCCTACCACGTTCAGTCCCTGAATCCTGATCGTTCCCTCCACCTGCTCTTGAAGGCCAGAAATCACCTGAAAGGAGGAAGGGCCAAGCCCTTCCCTCCCAGTGGGTGTGACTACACGTGTATTTATGTGCGCCTAAATTTAATGCGCCTTTGCTTAAGGTGCATTAAGGTGCATGTCTACACGTGCACTAATGCACATTAAGGCACATTAAATTTTAGGTGTGAAATGCAAAGTCACATTAGTGCACGTGCAGGCATGCTAATGCGCATTACTGTGGGGTGTGTCCATTGATGCACACCATGTTAATGCACATTAGTGTGTCTACACATGTGCTGATGCACTTTAACTAATCACGCCTAAGTTTGATACTTGTTTTATGCAGGAATCAAATTTAGTTGGGCTTAGCCTAAAATAGCCATTTTAAGTCACATTAAGGGCACACATAGATGTGTGCCCTAAATGCACCTGAAACCAGGCATTAAATGTGCACATTGTAGACATGCCAATGTCTCACAGAGTAAGCCTCATTTTAGGGTGTTGGCTGCATAATTCTGGAACATGTGTAGCCAACCTGAGGCATGCATGCCACAAGAGACCTGGCCAGCCTGTGCACGTGGCATGCAGAAGATCAGGGAGGGGACAACTAGCACAGAGGCAGATAGGGCAGGGAGCAGAAAGCTGAGTAGCGGGTGGGGCAGGAGTGCAGGGAAGGAAACAGAAAGCAGAGCAGCAGACTGGGCAGGGGAAGGGCATCAGAGAGTCACTCAGGGAGGGTGCAGAGCTCCTTTGCAGCGCGCCTAACAAAAAAAGGTTGGTCTCCACTGTTATAGAAGATGGTATCAACTCAAAGCATATGCACATGCCCAAATACCAAGGAGCCCAGAGAGAGTTGTGCCCAGATGGCACAGCCATGCCCTTGCTCTCCCTGTGCTTGTTTCACCATCTACAACAGAGATAATGATACATAATTTTGTAATGACTGTTCATATCCTTGGGTAAAAAACCCTGCAAAAGGCCAAAAAATTCTGCTCCATATCAGTTCTGCCACCTGAGCGCGTAATGAAATGATTTACTGCAGCGCATCGTGTTGTAATTCAATTGACCATGTCAGTAGTTCATCTAAAACTCCTTTATTAAATGCAAAACCCAGTAGCTGTTATACAGTTACTTTAAATGAACACTAAAATATTATGGAAAAATACTCATGCTGTATTAGACAGCAGAGTCACACTGCTTACTAGTATTAAAGACTGTGCCCACATAGTAATTACAGATATAAGCATTTGTTCAGACTACTTCGACTGGGCTACTGAAGTGTACCTTATTATTCCCAGTGCACAAAACCTTACTTGCTTTTTCTTATTCCTGATAGGCTTGCTTCTAGGTTTCCGGGAGCCAGAGTTTGGCCTACCAGTCTCCTTGTTCGTACATTAGTGTACCTGTGGCTTAACACCCTTTATCCTGGCAACAGTAGGGTTTGACTGTGTGTGTGCACGTGTGTGTGCACGTGCATATATGTGTCTGTCTCTGTTTTTCTCTCAAGATGTGGATTCCTGGAAGATTGCCATGCTGATATCTGATATAATAACACATCCCATCGTCTAGTGCATGATCACAGTATGTTTCATAATTCCTGCGTACCCACATAAGGGGACACAGTTTGGGGTACATTAGAAACCTTCGTTCTGTTTCCTGAAAGTCGGCATTACATGCACTGACAACTTCTATATATTTCTCCTATGAGTTTAGAACAAAAGGACATTGGGTTTCTTTGTCAAAACGTGCCTGTTTAGAATTCCAAATGATCTTGATAAACTGGAGAATTGGGCTTTTCACGCCAAAATGAAACCCAACAAAGGAAATCATAATGTGTTTCCACTGGGAAGAAAAAATGACACGCGTACATCCAGAATGAGGGAGAATTAGCTAGGCCCTAACACCGCTAAGAAGAATCTGGAGGTTATGGTGGACCGCAGCATCAACATGAGTCAGCAACGTGATGCATTTGCAACAAAAGCAAATGCAGTTTGGGGCTGCGTTAGTTTAAGTATTGGGCGTAAAACATGAGAGATGCTCGTACCATTCTGCTCGGCACTGGTTAAACCTCAGCAGGAGTATTGTGAGCTGTTCTGGCCTTCTCATTTTTGGAAGGACATAGTAGAGGAACAGGAGAGCATTCAGGGGTGAGCAATAAAGAGAGGACAATTGTTGAAATGCAAGCGGTATGAAAAAAGGCTGAAAGAACTAGATATGCTTAGTTTGGAGGAAAGATTAAGGAGGGATACGATAACAGTTTTCAAATATTTGAAAAGCCAACTCTTCATTTTTGCAGGGCAGTTGATTCTTGAGGCCCTGTCCTACCTATGATGCTCTGTGTTTCAGTTGTCGACACATTCACAAAGGCTTCATCAATGATAAATAGAGTGTATTACAAAGTCCAGAGATCATCCTTGCATATCTTTTCCTTTTTATGCCTTAGCCCCTGTGAGCTGGTTTGCGCTGTCAGTATGGGTACATATTGCTGGCTGTCCTGCAGCGGAAGCAGGGTCACTTACTTTCAGCCATCTGCAGTCAATAAAACCTTTTAAAGGTACCCCTGGAAAGTCAGGAGAGGAACTTCTCAAAGTTAGAAGTACTCACTTACATTCATCTGACACAGCACTATGCTAGCTTTCCCTGTTGCAAAATTATTCCCATAATGATGCTGGGACAGATGCCACTACTTCACGGTTTGCGGCAAGGAAAAGTTGAACTGAGTCCAACCAAAAGACTGTGGGATTAATGTCTCCAGCAGCCTATCCATGGCACTGGAGGGAGGAGAAGTGTGTGGGGAACATTTAGTCTTGGCTGCATGCCTCATTTGGTTTCAGGCATGTTTCTCCTTGGACATTTTGCTTCTTGAGCCACACTCACTTACCTTCTGCATCTATAACATACCTGGTGGGGTGTGGGGGGGTGGGGGGTGCAAAAACTGGACGGGAACCTTGTAATTGCATCTCTTGATAGCACTGCATGGCTAAGGAAGCTGTACAGCAGCTTTATCCCCAATATCTGGGATCTGTAAGGTTAGGATGCCGATTCCCTTGCCAACCCTTATCGGTTTAATTTAGAAAGGCTGCAAATAGCATGGAGTTTCCCAGCCTTCACTGCGGTTTTCCTACCAATGAAGTGACATCTGTGCTAGCCTGGTGCAAGGCAGCTGTTTCAAATTTCTGGCCACTCCTATCCCTTCTATCACATTTGCTGCCTATTGTTACTGTTGCTATTGCTGTATGAATAGAACTGGCAGAACATTTTCTGATGGAAGTTTTTCATCCAAAAATACTGATTTGATGAAGCCAAAATGTTTCACGGGAGTGTGTTGATTTTTGTCAACCTTGGCACCAAAAAAGCATCAAAATATTTTGTTTCCGACTTATCCAAGTGTTTTCTTTCGGCAAGGTCAAAATGCCGTGATTTTTTGGGTTACGACACAATTAAAAATGGAAACAATAATGTCTAAACAAAACAAAACATTCTGACCTTATCTAGATGACCTTACCTGACAGAACAAGGGGCAGTGGTCTCATGTTGCAGCAAGGGAAGTTGAGGTTGGATATTGGGGAAAATAATTCTCACTAGGAGGGTAATAAAGCACTGGGACAGGTTACCCAGCAAGGTGGTGGGGTCTCCATCCTTGGAGGTTTTGAAGACCCGGGTAGACAAAGCTTTGGCTGGGACGATGTAGCTGAACATGGTCCTGCTTGGAGCAGGGGGTTGGACTAGATGTGACCTCCTGAGCTCCCTTCCTGCCCTCTTTGTCTATGATCCTATATGAAATATTTTTTATAAAGTCAACCTGAAATCTTCAGAATGTTTCATTTCATGAAATTTTTCAGTTTCATTTTTTCCCCAGTGTGAGTAGAAAACCAATGTTGAAATCTTGAAATTTCCCACAGAATGCATATTTCATTTTTTTTGGCCTGTTCTATGCTAATAAGATAAAATTATCCTTTTTTTTTTCCCAGTCTTTCCTACAATCTTATTGAGAAATCTCCGACATCCAGTCTTTCTGCTGGTGGTATTGGCTCAGGTCAGTCTGTCAGCCATGGTGGCTGGTTTAGCAACATTCATGGGCAAATTCCTGGAGAGGCAGTTTTCGCTCACAGCATCCTTTGCCAACATGATCATAGGTAAGTCTTGCCCATTGCTATCGGAGACATTCCAGTTCTTAACGAGTATGCTGGCTAGTACTCAAGCTCTTATTTCATGTGGGGCTAATCCCAAACGCATGGGAATATTATTACTGCCATAACAAACCTCAAAAAATCATCAATCTAAATGACACCAACCAAAAATATGGTAGACTTTTTTCTTCAGAAGTAGGGGAGGCAGCGATGGGTTCATTTATGAGGTCAGTCAAGGGACATACATCCATACAAAAATAATGTTGGTAACAAAGTGTGGTTCCTGCAGCCAACTGAAAAGCAATCTAGCAGTTTTCCATGTGGGTATCTCACAAGACTTGTTCTTTCATCGAGCTGGTTATATGGCCCTGGGTAAACCCCTCAAACTTTGTGCATCATGGTCCAAAAAATGAATTTCACCCTATATGTCGGGTGCAAACTTCAGATTGACTTTTGTCAGATTAAAATAATTCTAATTTGTAGACTCATGGAGAAGCAGGGCTGGAAGGGATCTCCAGAGGTCACAGACCCCTGCCTTAGGCAGGACCATCCTTGTAAAGATTCAGACTAAATCATTCAGATGAAATGTTGTTCATATTGTCTATTTATCCTGCAGTAATATCTAAAAGCCCCCAACAGGTAGCAGGATCCCATTATCCCAAGTGCTACACAAACATAAATCAGAAAGATGGTGCTGTCTTTCTCTTTCTTTCTCTGGACTGTAGTTTTTCCATCCTTAAAATCGGGAATAAGAACTTCCTTCACAAAGTGTTTCGAGCTCTGCTGATGAAGAGTTAGAGGTCCACTTACATCTAAAAGTTCATTGCATTTGCACTTAAAGCACACAAGGAAGTGACATGGGCTACATACACGCATTCAAATAGCCTGGGAGAATTCTCCCAGATTTGTTCTCATGACAGAGAAGCTTACCCAGGGCCACGTGTAGAGATATTTGAATGTTGAGGCCCTGAAGAGTGGAGAGCTTGCAGTGCTGACACTGTGCAGCCAGGGGAGGCCTAGTGCACACGTCTTAGTGTCCTCTTCAGGCTCCCTGAGTCTGCCTGGCAACAGATGACAGCAATGCATAGGGAAGCCCTGATTAGCTTACCAAGATGGCCCATGGTCAGCCTGTGTTATCAGCATGTACATTCTCCCAGGAGAAACCCTGTGTGTGCCCAGATTATTTTTCTCTCAGAGTGGCCATTTTTACTCTGGGAGAAAAAGTCCAAACATCTGTACACTTGTGGTTTCTCCTGGGAGAATAGCAATGCTCCTGGGAGAAACTGAATGTCTGTACAAGGCTGTAGA